CCAATACCTTTCGAGTTCTTCGCCGTATCTTAACCACCCAACCTAGAAATAGATATTAGCCGTTACTGTTATGTTCTGCATAAAGGCAGAAACCTGAAACCTAGGCATGGTCCCGATCGTTCGCGCGCCCGCGTCCTGTGGAGATGGGAGGAGAGTATGAAATGTAGGATGCCAGATGCGGCATTTCACGCGTACGCCTAACAACCCTGTCTGCTCAGTCACAAGCAGCTCCTCTGCTATTGACTGGTTACGGGTGACGTCAGAGCAAAGCGGTGTTTCCAAACATTCTGCCTGTCTCCGTGGTTTGGCGGATTTTTGCACTGTCTCTTCCTTTTCACGAAATTTTGCAGTCATTGTAAATTCATCAGGTTGTAAGCACCATATTGAGGTCAGCTGCAGGTTCCAGTCAATTCCTTCATGATGCCAGGAGAAAGAAGAAATGGAACCTCATCAGGCCTTTCTCAGGCCTAGCTCGTGTCTCCCTACAGAAGATCTTCGAAAGTTTAGAATTTCTCCATACCCTGCCAAATTGGAAATTTCCAGATTTTACTGGTCTTACATGAAACTCCGAAATCGGAAATATTTTACTTTTCTTTCCGTTAGTAAAGGAGATATGAACTTTGAAAATATCGGATTTCATGCACGTTTGATCCCTCAGGTTAATTTCATAACTTTCAAGCTACACCAGCTAGAAATAATAGCTTATATGAAAGGTCTGAAACAGTAATTTCTTAGAATTTCACCACCCTATTATATTTTGTGGAGTTAACAGAACCAAAATTGCAGTACTAATAGTTCACCTCTGATTCAGTTTCATGATATGAGTTTTATTTGGTTATTTTCATTCTCACATGTCGAAAATGAAAGTCGAATATCTCTCTCCTTGTTCCTAGGAAATAAGAATTGTGCACAGAAAACAACAATGTCGCGTGCGACACGTTTTAAAAGTAAGGTCCTCTCCTTAAGGTTTCTTGAGGAATTCCTCCTTTTCACGATATAGCATTGGCTTAAGTTCAATATCGTGCAAAGTCATCATGACCACCGCTTTTCCTTCGCTCAGTAACGTGTTCACCTCATGTTAGGAAGTATAGTTTCTGAAGACGGTCTCGCGAATGCTTAGCTTTGTTACAATGTTTGCAACAGTGTCCGAACTTAGGTTGTTTTATCCTACCCCGACGCTGCTCACATGCACCCATCCGTTAGTAAGAAGAGCCTGCACACCCTTAAGAGTGCTATGCGGGCCTCTTAGGGAGGGGATGAACACGCACAGGTGAGCATTTGCCTCCAAATTCATGTACATCCATTTTTAAACCCACGCACACCCCATACTCACCCTTATTATTTGCTGTGCAAATTGTATGATCGGAGTCTATTTGTAGGGAAAAGAAGCAGTTCCAGAAGAAACTCTGATGATTGCTTGCTGTCAGAAAAAAAATCAGCACACCCTTTCGTGTGAATGTGAAAGATACTTCAGAGAATGATTATCTAAAAGAAAAAGAAATAAAAAGAATAGAAAGAATGAGGCGCTGTTTTTTTACGCGCCTCGTACGGAGAAAATAAACTCCGTATTAACTAATCTCGAATAGATATTTCACTACTTAGGGAATACAGTCACTTCGAAGGGACTCCGCAGCGGAACAAGAAACACGAAATGAATGGCGAAGCACCACTCACTGCCGACTGCCTGGAAATACCAGTACCTGCAAGTACGTAAGCATTTCCAGAAATTTCCCACCCAATATTGTAAGATCGGTCAGAGGTCTCGACCCTGGGGTGAAGGTCACAGTTGAGAACACGATGGGCCCAGGGAGCCTCAAGGGCGAGGGTGCACCCAGGCAACCTCAAGGGCAAATGCTGGAACAGGAAGTAGCCGGTTCTCGTAGCCTCCAGGTCTCTTCGCTCTCGTATCTTTGTGCACTATTCCTTACATAATTGCGAACCGCAGAGGAGGATGAGGCAAATCTCACTTCCATTATGCTGTTTCTCAACCAGGGCCTCGGAGCTAGAACGGAACGGAACGGTAAACCGGAACGGAACTCGTGATTCCCGGAAGGGAAAGTTGCACTGAATGATATAAACGAGGGAGAAGGAACGATATAACGGAACGGAACTCATTGATCATACTGGTTTGAAACGGGTTATATCGTTACAAATTTCGGATACGGGGTGCTGTATGTATACCTTTGGTACAGTAGTGATATTTGATACAGAAATGGACTTCCTCACAGAAGGTCAAAAAGGCAAGGTACTTTTTCCCGAGGCATTGGGAGGCCATACTTATTCGCTCAAATGAACTTTAAATGAAAGCATTGGAATAAAGGAGATTGAAATAGAGACATGCTGGGTGTGTGCATTGGAACTTATGTTGATAACGTTATGAAACGCTATAACGGAAGGGAACTCCATAAATTCCAACATTAAAACGCTCTGAACTGAACTTTATTCCAGCGATAACGTTATACCGGAACGGAACGTTTTCCCTACAATTCCGAAGCCCTGATCTCAACATGGGATTTGAAGGAAAATCTCTCTTCCCCTTCGGCAGTTCCGTAGGAAACAAAGCGCCATCTATCGGCGAAAAAGTGACGCCAGCGTGATCCAAGTAACACAAGAAACGTTCAACCCCGGTCCAGAGGTTCTTTGGCGTTCAAGGTTCAGGAATGAACAGCTTTTGGACGCTCAATTAAGGTGCCTTTTCATCACCAATGCATGACGTCCCAAACAGCATGTTTACGTAAACAAGATGACAATGACAAGAGAAAACAATGTAAATTTCTTGCGATTGCCATGAAAATGACATTACGTTTACGTAAAATTTACGTTCCTATATTTACGTCACCAAAGTGTACGTGTATTTTGCATAAACTAGACGTCACTCTATTCGACGTGAAGTACATGATATCAAGTTTGTGCAAAATTAACGCCACACCATCCATATGAANAAGTACATGATATCAAATTTGTGCAAAATTAACACCACACCATCCATATGAAACTTTAGCTGACCATCCTGTAGTTGCAGTACCAAGATTCCTCACTAGATGGAACCCTTGTTCCCTGCATCCTACAAATACGTTAAGTACTGGTTTTCCTGATATAGTAGCAGGTTTTCTTAACATGTTTCTACTTTTAATTATGCAATCCATGAATATATATATGGAAAAGATGAAATTATTATTTACTTTTAATGATATATGACTCAGGGAATCATTAAATGCTGAAGTCAAGCTTTTTATTGCAACAGCGCACGGGATTAGGTAAGAGTAGAATCCCAACCCACAAGTACTATATCTATTCTATCCTAAAAGGAAGAGAGCTCCTTTGAACACCTACTCCGAGGTTACAGTACGGGAGGAAGCAGCATGTAGGTCACTTTAGTACTCTTGAGTGCTGGTGAGGATGAGTACTTATGTACTCGTCTAACCACCTTCGAGTTCTGAAGAATGTAAAGGAATAGGAGGTTCAGTATAACAATTCCCTTCAATGGTACGGATTGACTCCTTAAATGCGCATGAATGTCAGGGGAATATTAACATAAATCTTACGTAAAATGAATATAAACATGCCGATTGGAATGCAAATGGGAATGTCAATTTTACGTTAAATTTACGTTAATTTTATATCACCGTTTACGTATCACAGAGGTGACATTTCTGCCAACATGTTGACATTTTCTTGACAATGGTTTGCGTAAAAATGATATAAAATGGACAAAACATTTCCATTCAGTTTACGTAAAATTAACATAAACATGCCGTTTGGGTACTGATACAGCAGTAGACCCAGGGTTGCAAAATCAACGGAGGTATGACACGTTATACCCAAAAGTGCCAGAGCGGTCATTTTGACCGCCATTTTGAAATCAATGTATTTGACTTTGTGAGCGACTGCCTAAGCTACTGTCAGTCAGCGTCTGACCTAACATTTTCAAGCATTCGATCCGCTGTGATCACGTGACCTACCTGGTGCAATCTTGTGATCGGCCTGCTGTAATCACGTGACTGATTTGCATCGAAAACGTGCTTTAATTTGAAGCTGAATTTCAAAGCTACGCATTCGTCTTGTATGTGCTACAGTAGGATACTTTTTCAGACAAGTTGAGATTAATTTTTCCTGCAACTTATCTGCTGTATCTGTATCTGTGCATCTGCTGTGAAATAGTGTGTAGCGGAAATGAATAGACCTTGAAAACAACGTGATACCACACTGCAGTACTTACAGCTATTACAGGACTTATCTGAAGCTAAACCTCGAAATGCAAATGAGAAAGGCCTAAATGATGATGAAACTTACTATGATCGTGGGAAGAAGACGCATGACGGCCGTGCCGCGTAGGAGTAGGCAGGGTTTGGCTAGTGCTGTGCGCACGTGCAGGGTATCATGCCTATCTTCATCCCAAAAGCACCTAGACACTACAAAGTAATATACGTTGCCAAATGTCCTTTTCAACATTACGCTTATTAATACTATTGAACTGACCATTTTCTTGTTAAAATTTAGTTCTGTTGTACATGAACAACTTAAGATGTTACAGAATAACGATTTTATACGATTTTTAATAGCGCTAAAGAGGAGCTTTTCTTGAGCATAACTGGACTATCTGGACATAACTGGACAGGGGCCTGAAATAAACGAAGGTTCACGCAACTGACGCTAGATGACGCGAAAGTAGGCGCTACTGCGAGTCAGTACCACATATAGCTGGAATTCATCTCCAATACTTTCCTTACGGTTCCCGATCTTTTCCCCTACAGACACCACAGAGGAAGGCGGAAAACTTTCACAAGTCACCCAGAAAACCCAATCCAAGGAGTCTCCAAGGAGTTTCCATTTTCCTTCTTCGTAGCAGAAGATTCCTTCGAACTCATCGATTTCAAGGGTTCAACTCGTCTGTTGGCAAATCTCGCGAAGATGCAAGCGGAAGCGGAGGAAAATAGAGAATTTATGCTAACACAAGAGAAAAGCAGGCTGAACTCGGCACTCTTTGTCGAGGTCATCTTGCTGGAAAAGGATGAATGCGACGAGTCAGCTCGTAAACGAAAAGCATTTTATCTGTGCTGAATCTTGGATGTTTTCGCTTCCCTACGTTTGCACGATTCTGGAATGACACTTGCGAATCTGACGAACGACTCAGACCTCACTCGCTCTTGGCTTCTCTTTCAGGACCCAATACCGGGTGATCACGTACAGAAGATTTCCTGGAAACACAAGCAGTCCACCGTGAACAGGAAATCTGGACACGACCCACGTCGCGAACGAACGAAACCCACCGACGACGAAGAAGGCGAGGAAAACCGGCAACGACTGACGCAATGCGACGGTGAAAACGAAGCAGACGACGGCGACAGTGATGCCGTGAGTGAAAGGGAAGGGCGATAAGGAGAAGGAGCTGCTCGTCTCCGATGCTTCGCGTTTGGGCGCATTCGCGTATAGAAATAGCAAAGAAGTTCCCAAGGTGAGAAGTAAAATCGTGAGGCTGAGTCCCCAGGCCCAGGTGGCATCGTTGGACAAGAAGGTGACGGCCGACGTAAAGGAACCCGACACGATGAGGGCCAGGCAGTGATGCAATGACAAGCCCACCCATTCCTTCTTTTTTCCTCTTCTCCCGCTTCGAGAACGATTTCGTTTTCTTGGGATGACTCTCCCGAGACGACGCCTAAACGACTCGAAAGCGCGAGATGCCCTCTTCCGTTTGCTCCGAGCGCCGCGCTCTGAGTCCTGTTCTTCCGATCTCCCGTGCATTTGCATCAACCGTTTTGACATCACTGACAGGATTACAACTGCATACTCCCACGCGGTTCCGGTCGCGAAGAAAATCGTGAGCTTCCTCAGCGACGAGCCCAGGGCCAGTGAGGCGGCCACGATCGCACAAACCCCACCTGCAGTGACGTTGGAGCCACTGTAGGGATTTTCGACTTTGAGAAATCGTGGGAAAAGATGGTCTTCGCTCAGACGCGTAAGAGTCGCGACAGGGACGAGGAAGGCCTCTGGGAACGTGACGATCGCCATGAATAGCAGAAACAAGAATGTGACCAAAACCCAGGTATTCCACTCCCTTGCTTTACTATCACCGGCGAGACCGGGAAAAACGGAAGTGCTGTCGTGATACGTGCCGTTGAGATACGTGTCGTTAAAGAAAGCTTCCGTGTGTGCGTTATGGACTTGTGAGACGGCCAGCAACGAAACGATGAGGAATCCCACGACGGCCGCGATGGTAGACGCCACCCTTCGTAATTTTTGTGGCTGGTGTTCCCCAATGTGTCCGGGTTTCCTCGGGGTCAGAGGTCGAACCAACACCCCCCACAGCACGCCCAGCGCCAAGACCAGCCCCTAAAACAAAGGTCATTCTCGATGCGGAGACGCTCCTGAACCCTCATTGACATGATTATCATGATAATATATAATCAATATGAAAATACCACTTTTGATGTTTTTCTGATGGCTTCCGCGGTAGTCAGGGTTTGTCCCGCTGCCGTTCCGAAGATGATCGTCGCGAGGCTAATTACCGCCAATACGTCACCTGCCACTTTCAGAGCGCGAAAATCCTGCAATGCACCATGGAATCAGACAAGACTTTCCTCAACGGAACAGATCTGACTGTGTAAATCTCACCAGAGAAGTGATTTGAAGTATGAGAAAAACCGCGACGACGACAATGGCCGCCGGAATGTCTACAGTGGAAGCCGGGATCCCAAAATTGGCCCAGACATAAATTTGATTCTTGCTCAGCGATTCCAAGGAACCGGATAACCCTTTGGCGAGGAGAGCGAGGACGCTGAGGTCGGAGAGCAGGGACCCGACGGCGCAGAGGACAGCCGCGAGCTGCCCGCTGCTCCTGTGCAGGGCGTCTGAAACGGAATCGGCGACGGACGGTCGGGTCCTGCTCACCAGTTTGAGTCCGACCGAGCCTGGGAAGAGGTCGAGAAGCGTCAACGCATCTGGCATCGGTCGCTGTCGGGTCGAGGTGAGTGAAGGTGAGTGGAGGTGAGTGAGTATGAAGACCGGAAGGTCTCTGATGCATACAGTCGCAGAAAATGCACGTGGAAGAGATATTCTCTGCAGATTACTGGAGGTCCAAAGCGAAAATCGCTCGCCTCGATGGAATGCGTGCGAATGCGCAGGGAAGTAATTAAAACGTGGATGCGACACGACTCGATGTTCGAGGAACTCAACGCGTGCACAATCGTTGACTTTTCACACTCAGTTGAGACGTAGAATTAGCTCCATGCACTTCCAGCATTCCAGTCACTGCCCTGTGCGTTTTCTGCGACCAAAAACGAATCTCTCTGCGTATCTCCTGCTGAGTGCACTCCTTAAACGCAGATCATGGTGTCGACAGCCGATACCGTTCACGCCGCACGGACGATTCGCGACTCGTCGGTCTCAGAGACATTCTGGTTTTCATCAGCACTCCCAACGTATTCCACGGGCCGTTTTTCGCCCTACCCGTGGAAAATGCGAGTAGAAGAGCAAGGAAGAAGACCAGAAACTCCAGCTTCGCGTCCGCGGCCCCAAACACTTGGGGCAGGAGAAAGAAGGAGGCTGGCACGATCGGAGTCAAGGCGGCTGCGATCGACCGGATCCGCGAGGGAACCGGCCCGATGTCCTGTCTCTCGGGTTCTCCCTTCACTCGCTGGCAGTCTTTGACGAGGCGTCTCAGCGTGAACTCTTTTCCTCGACGGCGGCCCGCTTCGGGAACCATTGCCATAGAAGATATCTAGAAATAAACTCAATTTCGATAATTTCGCGCAGTTCAACTGGCATTTTTTCTCTCCAAGGAGGACGGTTGGAATTTTTTTTATTTTACTAAAATGGATAGTTCTGGGGGGGGGAAATGCATAACTGGCTGCACTTCTGAATTCGTCTTGAAGTGTCTATATTACGATTCTAACTCCTTTTTTACTGACGGATTCCGGACGTATAGTCGGGAACGGATTGAGAAATCATCATAAGTCCCCCCAATCATTTCTTCTTGAGAGATCCCGGATTTATGCATGAAGCACCCAAAATCGTGCAATCCGGTTATACTGTAGAAGTGAATTCGTCCCTTCTTAGTTTGGAATGACGATAAATTACAAACCACTAGAGATGACTTCCGACCTCACCTCAGGAAATCGCGAACGAAACATAAGCCTTCGGAATAAAAAGAGTCAGCTTCGTAATTTCTTTCCCTGCAGACGCGTAAGCATAAATCGTTGCCACAATGAGAGACACTCCTCGTTTTGGCTTCCCTCCAGCGGGATTCTCGACTGCATGGGCTTCCTTCTCTATTTCATTCCTTCAGTTTTCTCATTTGGTTTCCCCAAGTCAGAGGAAAGGTTCGGTGAGAGGAGGATTTATTTGCGTGTCGCAGTTGTCATGTTGGTTGGCCCACACGCTTCTAACTGATTTTTTGTTTTTGTCTCGTGGCTTCAGGAAGTGATGTTTCCTGAATTTCTTTTTTCGTTTTGAGCAGCTTAACTTGAAAATGAAAATAAGATTTTCTTTGGGATTTTCGATCCATCATTATCAAACATTGGCATTCTGTAAAATGTTTTGGTTCACATATATCACGTCGGCAGGTAATTGTAGCCAAGGATGCGAGTAGTAGGTGGCACTTTCGCTCTCCATAAACGATCGCCACATTCGCGAATATCTCCCGCATGAAACACTTGCATGAACCCGATGTTTGTGAAGAGGGCGGCAGGACATCGACGACGTTTGCAAGGGAAGAGAAAAAAAGCGTGCATTTCCCATAGATCTTCAATGAGGAAGCGTGAACATTCCCTAATTTTAAGTTCTTTTTTTCCGAGAAATCACGGATGTCTCGCAGAAGGGATGATCTCACTCACATTCACTAATCTCGAGTGGATTTATTTCCACTGGCTCGAATGAACCGTAGAGGATGAGAGACCGAAGAGTGACTAGCATAAAAGGACACGAACCCGTTCCTCGCATTTCGCACTATCGTCCCACTGGAGGCGACAAGGGACACGAAACACCACTCTCAGCCGACTGCCTCGAAGCCAACTGCCTTGGAGCCAACAGCCTTGAAGCCCCGAAGACGCACAAGTATCCGCATCCGCACGTGAGCGCCGTGCGAAAGCGCCGAATGATGAAAAATCGGCCAGAGGTCCCGACCCCTCGGGTGAAGGTCGCCAGTTGAGGCCGAGCCTCGTCGGGCTCTCATCGTTCAAGAAAATATCACGGGGATCCTGCTGGCGTTTTTCTCATTTCGGATGCGCACAGTGCAGCTTAAAAAAATGCTGGAATTGGGAGGTTCTCGCAAATGCCTTCTAGCCTCTTCGCTCTCGTCTTGACAGTTACCTGATAGCAATCTAAAAGGAATAAGAAAAAACCAAGGCCATACGTCCACTCCTATTAAAATAGCTCGGAAGGGCGAAGTATGCGTTGTGCCATCCCCTGCTTCTCTTGTGTCATCCTCGAAATTTGAACAAATCGTTTCAATATAGTGTGTCTATGCCTTGCTAAGGTATTTTCCAGGGCTATGGATGTCGCATGTTTCAGCTGCACGTTCTAACCGTCCGACAAAAAAATTGTGAATTGCGAATGAGGAGAAAAAGATGTGGCGAAAGCCACAGTTACATCACCTAATTCCTCAATAAAGATGTTAGATCCGAAGGAAAGTCGGAAAATAAAGTCAAAAATTTTCGCAGATACTGTGTTGCACTCAAAAAAGAGTTTATACAGATGAAAGCACATGTCCTTTTCTATTTTCTCCCGAGGTTCCGTTGGTGAGAAGGTTCTGCTGACAGCAGGGGAAGTAATCAAACATGGTGCGCAGACTGGAAGTGTCAACGTGTGAGGAGCAGAGGAGTGTGATCAGGTACCCACGGGCGCAGGGTCACACTCCGACGATCATTCATCGCGAAACGAGTGCCGTGTATGGAGACAACTGAAGGTCGTAATGTCATTCCTATAAGTGGTATGACAAAGATCGCTGCATTACGCACAATTGTCGTCGACGACGAGTGGGCGTCGCGGCTGTCGAGGCCGTATTTGGATGACCAGGCCGCGTCGTCGACGACACTCGGGCGTCCAGGAGCGAACTTGTCGTACCACTTATAGATACGACGTTGAGAGTTGTCTTCATACACAGCACTCGTTTCACGATGAACAGCGTGTGACTCTGCTCCCGTAGAAACCTCATCACACTCCGCTGCTCCTCACGCGTTGACACCTCCAGACTGCGAGCTATGTTTCAATACCTCCCTTGCTGTCAACAGGACCTTCTCACCTACGCCACTTCGGGAGAAATTAGAAAAGGACATGTACTTTCATCTTTATATACCAATGTTTTTGTGTGCATAGAGTATCTGCGAAAAAAATTTGATTGACCTTGTTTTCCAACTGTACCCTCGTATAAAGGAATTATCCCTCTCTGCCCCCCGCCTCCCGTTCGGGCCACTGCCCACACATCCACCCTCCCCCACCCTCTTTCTTCCTCCTCTCTTAATCCGTCTCCCTATGCTCCGTTATTCCTGGTTATTTTAGCATTGCTCTCGTTTCAGAAGGAAAAATACTCCATTTTGTCCTTGCTCATCGGTCTCCCAGGAGTGAATTAAGTATTCACTCAGAAAATTCCCCCACATTCAGAGTCTTTCTGAAATGAAACACATGCTGCTTTCATAGAAAATTCTATTTCGGCGATATGCACATGGTATTGTCACACTGCGAACATCAGATGTTCCCTCTCACGCTTTCAAGACACTGCACAAATAAAAATTCGCCTCCCCCCCCCCCCCATGTATGCTTAATTTGCCACGTAAGAGCTCTAGTTGGAATCGCTTCTGGACAGACTCGAAACACGAGTAACAATCGAAGTCTGGGTTTCGGCCGAAGCAGATCTAGAGAAAACGATCGGCATCCTCTCGCCCCTTCTCGAACCCCTCGCGAACAGATCCCCGTACAACCTAAAGATCTTGGAGTTACAACCGAAAGCCACAAAGACGTAGACCCCCTGCGTCGCATTGAGACACACGAACGCGACCACGAAGACCAACGAGGCGACGACATCGAAGGAGAAGACGCTCGGCAGGATCCCAGCCAGCCACGTGAAACCCATCGCAGCCGACATCCTCGCGTACACCTTCGCCTTCCCCATTCCCTTGCCCTGTCGCCTCGAGTTCACCTCCGCCGCCGTCCGCCTTATCGAAGTTACCGTCAACGCGTACAGGATCCCGTTGCAAACGAGGATCCCGACCATCGGCAGCGCCAAGACGATCGTATTGGCCAAGGGATTCCCGATCCAGCAGAAGTAATCCCCGTACCCCACGTTCCAAGCGTGGGTCAGATCCAACGCCAGGGACAAACCCACGATCCCCAGAGGACACGAATAGGCGTAGAGGGAATACCGCACCGTTCTGTTCCCGCCGTTCCGAACCCTCTTCATTCCCCCGAACGTGCGATACAGATCGATGGCGAGGACGTTGTTCCAGAAAAACGCAGCGAGAATCCAGTAATGAATGAAAACGGCAAAAAAGACGCACTGCCACCTCAACAACGACTCCCGGGCGTACAACCCCATCCCGACGAGAAACCCCACCTGGAAGGCAAAAAGGCTGAAGGAAAGATTGAACACGTTCCAACCGTGAGTGTTCCTCAAGGTCGGAAAGAAGCCGTAAGTGAAGAGGATGAACCCCAGTCCCACGACCGAGACGCACATCCCCACGAAACTGATGCACTCCACGACCTCGAAGACGTCATCGTACTCGCTCCAGTCGCTGGAGGTCCTCGGGTCGATGCAGCACTCGATCTCTCCCGACGGAAGGACCCTGTACTCGTTCCGATGAAGCACCTTCGACACGTACGGCAGGTCGCCCAGGTACGCGAGCGCGACGTCCGTCGTCGCGTCGGGCGTGAGGACCGTGAGGAAATCGCTCGCGTTCATCGTCATGCGGAGGCACGATTCGTCCTCGATCCACGGCCGGTCCGTACACACGGCGACGGCCCCGGATAAGTTCTTCCAGCTGCGCCAGATGCTGCCTTGGAAGAAGATGTTCGCCACGTATTCGCCCGCGCCGTAACGTTCGTCCGTCTCCGTCAGGACCACCTAGGGAAAACGGGGGTTCTGTTAGGTGGTGGCCGATCCGCATCTGATTCCGCGTCCTGAATTCGCACTCCCACTCTCTCCTCGCCGTATTTTCTAAAGTTACGTCCTTTCCTTCAATGCTCTTGAAAGAGTCAAGCAGCTACCGAGTCGTACTTTTAGGTTGTTTACTGTGCTTAAAATTCTGGAGTGGGCGCATAGGTCCTCACCTGAATCTCCCAGCTCGTGTCGTTTTCTGGCCCCACAGTGGTGAGCTCAAGCGAAAACTCATCGTTCATGTACTTCCGGATTCTTCCACCTCTGCACGGAAACAATGAATCACATTGAGAAAACATGCAAGAAGACGAAATGGGAATTGAGAGTAGGATCTAAAACGTGAAAACAAACATAAATAGCTACTTCGATTTTTTTTCCTTCAAAATTTCCTGACATTTCTATTCCTATTTGAAAAAAAGGAAGTGTCATTGTGAATTTTGTTCATTCAGAAAGATCGGGACCACATTTCTCATCCAACCATATTGATCATGTCGTGCCCAAGAACGCCTCAACGGACCTAACAGGCCTGAAAGAGGCGAGCAGCCGCAAAGATTCACGTTCCGTACCAAGAATGAGGAAAGATTTCCCTCGAGGGAAATGTGTAAGCAGGAAAGGATGCTCCCCCCTCCCCCCCTCCCCCCTTCTCTTAGAGACTCCCATAATTTGCGCCTAGGTCTTACCCACAGGATCTCTTCAGTTCAGTCCAAAGCAGATATTTTTCCGTTCAAAAGAAACTTAACCCTCGACTTACGGGGCCAATTAGGCCTATAAGGGTCAATCTCAGGGTCTTGGAGACATATAGGTGAGGACGTGTAACATTTGGCCTATCCGGAGTTTCTCGAACCACCTCGACTGCGTCTGAGGAGAGAATGCCTCTGGGATTCAAATTCAAATCGGGCGCCATTTTGTTGATTCAGGGATGTCCGGAAAAGTTATCTCCATATCCAACCGCATCTATCGGCCACTGCTAATCACCGTTTCAATCTCGGCTCATTCCATGAACTCAGAGCAAAATGTCTCATATATTAAAAAGCAGAAGATCCAGACACCGATACGAAGGCGGAAACAGGCATGAATCCGATATAACTCCGGCACGATATCTGGCAACACTGGTGAATGGGACTGGAGCCCGCACGCTAAGCCTAAATGATTGATGATGAACGACAGCTAATTTCATTTTTCATGGCAAACATCTGCATTGCAAACAACAAACGGGCACTTTTCGTGATCCAAAAGTCAAAATCTCCCATTAGATTGGAGTACTTTCCACGAAAAGACCCCAGGCCTCCTCCCACTAAGGGGGAGAGAGAGAGGGAGAGAGAGAGAAAACAAGAAATGAAGTTGACATCTTGAAAGAGTGGGAATTAGTGTTCTCCTCAACCCCGGGGAATCGAGGCTTCAAAGAGTGCGGCCAAGATGTGCCCCTTCAACGGCCTAAAAAATGGGGCACATCGCCTATGGGCGGTTGGCCGCACTCTTTGCCGGAGCGATTATGCGTTGAGAGGGGAAGAAGCATGCCCGATTCCGTTCCTCCAGATGTTCTCAGAGATGAACACGAAGATGCTGAATTTCGTAACGGGAAAGATCGAAGGGAATAGGCCCTACCAAAGCCTATTGAAACCCATGGCCTACTAATTCCAACCTCCCAACGAACTCAGCAAGCCTGAAGATATGGAGCAAGCGCAAAGTTACACAGCTGCTTCCGCTCTTCTCCCTCCCTTTCTCACAAAGAACACAATAAGAACTGAGAAGGAATTCCATCGAGTTATGTCCAAAAGGACGAGGCGCCACCTCATGGCGAAAAAGTTACCCCTGCCCAATCCCAATCCCAATTCCAATCTCAATCTCCAATCTACAATCTACAATCCCCCAGGCAAGAAGATCGTTTGGAAGAATTCATTGGACCAGATGAAACCAAGAAAGAAAATATTGGACTCGGTGACCCGAGAGTCTTATCGCGTCTTGTCCTTGTTCCCTCGAGAATCCCATCAATTGCAAAATCGATTGCACAAGAGGATTGCAGTAAACTCCGACACTTCTTCCAGGATTTCAAACTCAAGTACCGATTTTTCCCTCGAGCCCAGTTATATCCCAAGAGGACAGAATCAATACCGTCCTCCAGCCGATTCCGAGAAATTCCAAGCAAAAAAAAAAAAAGGAAAGAAAAACACGTAAGGTTTGCAGAAGAGACACGGCACTGCGTCTGAATGTGGTCATCTCATCGCAGATGCCCGATAAGCCGGTTGACACGAGCGAAAAATTTCTCCCTGCAAAAGCGTCCGTCGTTCCTGTTATCTGTTTGCGGATAAAGCTGGCGTCGATCGGGGGGAAATAGAAGGCCGTTTCGGTAATTATGTAATCCCATAACTTCGGGGTTTCCTTCGCGCTCTCCGACTGGTCTTAATCGCTTCAGCTTTTCCCTGGAATCGCTGGAAAAATCGGTAACCGTTTGCATTTCGTTGAGCCCGAGAAACAGACGAATTTTGAACGCTTAGAACGCTGCTACGCAGGTCGAAACGGCCAACCTCGGGTCACGTGACCGGCCCCAACCAATCGGAAGCGGCGTGGTCACAATGCGTCACGTGACCGGCAGGGTTCCATTAAGTTTGCATGGATTTCGACGCGGCTCGCGTGAGAGATTTAATATTGTTACGGCATTTGGTGACGTGGCATTCGTTCCCGTTCGCCTTTGTGTGCGGCTTGGGGCGACATCGCCTCACTTCAACAACCGAAGACCCGTGTGAGATAAAATAAAATGTTATCGTTTGACAAAGCCGTGTCGACGAACAGCCATTGGCGAAGAACTTGAGGCTGTCGGTAAAAAATGGAGACGGTTGCTGACTGCTCGACTAATCGATCCGCTAGCAGAGTTTTAATTAATCTGTATTCTCTTGAATCCGGGCGGTGATATCCAGCAGGCGTATCACGAGACGCTCCGAATTCTCCTGAAGAAAATAATTTTATGGGTGAAATCGGGACGATATCGATAGAGCCCCGTGTCCACTTTTGTGCTTCCTTCTTTAGAGCGGAGATTTAGGGGAATAATAATGATTAAAATTAACTGATTCCAGTCAAACTTTCTGATCCCGACTAAAAATATAATCGTACGATCGAAAGCGGGGGGGGGATGAGACTAAAAAATGAGCGAATGGAATTTTTTCTCACCTGCACCATTCTTGGAAGCTCCTATAGCCATCTTCCGTTGGGTATTCGTGGATTCCTTGAACGCTGAAGAGGACCTCGCAGACTTCGAGGAAGAACCTTCCCTTCGTGATGTCGTAGGTCATCTGGGCGACGGCGGTGTCGACGTTGGGTTCGTCGGGGTCCGAGCCGGCGATCAGGAGGAAGCCGACGGTCAGGTCGCGGTGGCAGGTGTCGTTGTGGGCGACTTCGAGCCAGTTGCAGTCGCCGGTGAGGGTGAGGGAGACGTTGAGGATGCGGGAGGGGGAGATGCTGAGGTATGAGCCGATTTTTGTGGGGATGATGCGCTCGAATTCTTCGATGATCCAGTCTTCTTCGCGGCCGATGGCTTCTACTTCCAGGATCACGATCGCCTCGAGGGTGCTGAGGGTGAAGATGTCGTCTGGGGCTTCCGAGTCGCTCTCGATGCATTCGTTGCCGTGAAGCTCGTAGTCGTCGTCGCAGTAGACGTCGCGGCAGAAGTTGCCGAAGGGATCCCAGATCTGACCGGATTCGCATTTGTCGGACCAGTCGTCCGTGTCCACCAGGATGTTCGTGTCGTCGTCCAGGCCGAAGTTGATCATGACGGACAGGGAGGGAGGGAAGAACATCCAGTACAACTCGCTTTCGTCGTCCGACAACGAAATGTCCCAAAAAAAAAGGAAGCTGCGAAGGAAGAAGTCGTAGGACAAGTCCAAGAATCGTTCCTCGTCGGGATGACACCTCGGAAGGTCTTCGATCTCCGAGGGAGGGAACCAGCACGATCCGGCGGGGTTGGGCTGGAAACATCCAATATGCGGAATCCGGCGCCAGGGACGGTAGCGATCCGAATCCCGATCTAAATCTTGTGACGAATTTCGATCTGAATAAAGATCCGAGTCCCGATCCGAATCCAGTGTCGAATTTCGATCAGAATTATGATCCGAATCTAGATCCGAATCCCTTGACGAATTTCGATCGGAATTATGATCCGAGTCCAGATCCGAATCCAGTAACGAATTTCGATCGAAATTATGATCCGAGTCCAGGTCCGAATCCCGTGACGAATCCCACGATGAATTCCAGCCGAGAAAAACCAGGCCGGTTTTCAGGTCGGTGACGGGAGGTTTTTCCAGGTTCTCTTCGCCGTAGATCCACATCCAGACGTGGAGCTGGTTCCCGACGTGGATGCATTTCGAGGATGGACTTCCTCGAAGCGAATTCGCCTTCTCGGGGGCGTCATAGCGAGAACGGCCTGAAATCACATCACCTAGGTTTTTTGTAGGGAGGCTGGCCCTTCTTCGTCCCACGAATTCCTTTTATCCTTAGAGTATCCGTCGAAATCGACTTAACATTTCTAAGACTACGAAAATCTTCACTTAAAAAAAATTCAATATTTCATATTCTCGAAAAGAAAAAGTTTAGGACGAGACCCGGACTCGACGCGCGATTCGCAACTCACTTGTGCAGGCGTTCGAGGAGAAAACGAGGAACGCGAAGGAAGTCAGCAGCCACATGTCAAGCCTGAATCATCTTTTCCCACCGAGATGAATTCTATTTCCAGGCTTCGGTTCGACCTCGCTATCTGGAAGATACTGCGGGACTCGCAGCTGCTTTTTCTTCCCAGGGAAAAATCAGGGGAATTTTTTTTTCCTCGCCGCGTGGCGCCAGGGTCACGCCCGTCACGGTCACGCCCCTCGCGCTCACGCCCGTGACATTGGGGGAGGGGAAAACCCGCTCTTTGCGTTTCCCGCCGGTGAATTGATTCGACTCGTGCGGTTCAAGATAAAAAGCAGTTTATCTCGTAAACCGGATGCGTCAATGTTTGCATGAATCGACGATTAGTCGGACGGGAGACGGGATTTGAGGGGAGCAGTAGACGTCGCGGCAGAAGTTGCCGAAGGGATCCCAGATCTGACCGGATTCGCATTTGTCGGACCAGTCGTCCGTGTCCACCAGGATGTTCGTGTCGTCGTCCAGGCCGAAGTTGATCA